CGCAAATCAGGTTCTCAAATATATATTCGCAAGTTCACCCGCACGACGGTTAGAAGCTCCAGAATATATCTAAAGCCGCTCAGGGTTTCTCGAAGCACAGATCACGCATGACCGACTGATTCCCAGGTTAATGGTTATCTCGGATTTTTGAGAGTCAAGACTCGAGACTACTCGCTATTCGAGATTTGAGAAACGAGACGAGAATTTCAATGACGACACGCGTGCTCGCTTGATGTCACGAAAGCCCCCATGACCTTAACTGGCCTTGAAGATGAAAAATCTACACCCCCGAAAGCAAACAGTCCTTGTATATACCTTAAGACTTTGTTGTGATGCGTATCCCTATACAAGAGAATAAAAATGTCTTTCATGCATTTTGAAGCCGAAAAACGCGTATTTGCGCAGACCAAGCTCACAGATTCACATGACGTCATTTAATACACTGAACCACAAGTATTTACAATCAAATGAAGATTACTCGAAGCACACATCAAGTGCGCATAACCTAAAGATTCCCGGTTTGATGATTATCTCGCATTTTCGAGAATCAAGACTCAAGACAAAAAGCCATGCTAAACGAGATTCGAGAAACGAGACAAGAATGTGAACTACAATTGACAGTTACTGTAGCTCCCAGTGCCAAAGCATAGTTAGTGGAGGGGACTAACTACATGTTATGGTCAAAGGATCCAGTGGGTGAGACTAACTTCCGTACCTAAACGACGCCGAGCAAACTTTTCTATCAAGTACTATATGTACATTTAGCGATATCTTTAACCAGACGTAGCGCTAGCTTTGATGTTTATCAGAGATTTTGGTGACGTCCACTTAAACTCGTTGATGATTTTTTGCTAGTTTAGCGGATTGCCAAGAAAAGAAAAAGCTACAAATAACAGAGAAAGTGCGAAGTCGATAATACTAAAAATTTGGACGTCGACCCCCATTCGCGTGCGTTCATTCAGTAATTTTTTTTTCCAATCAATATTCACTGAGACTGAAAGTTTGAAAACCTCTGCGGTACAAAAAATGTCAGCGAATCTACAAACACAAAACAATACAGAACACCAAGTGTAATACTTACTTTACCATGAAATCTGTGATCATCATTTCGTCCACAAACTGACTCAACTCACCCCTGATAGCCTGAAGACAGGCAAACGATGAAATGAAATGAATAAAAAAATGAAATAATAAAAAACAGTAAAGAAAACAGAACGGAACGCCAGGGAAGGGAAGAAACTAGAGGAGAATTGAAAAGGGCGAAAGTGAAGGCAA